TCAAATCAATGCGGAGTAGAAGTTTTAGCTACAAATCCATGCGAAGCAAATGATTTAGCTTCAACTGGATGCGAAACAAAAAAATTAGATTCAAATCCACGCGAAACACATGATTTAGCTTCAAATCAATGCGGAGTAGAAGTTTTAGCTACAAATCCATGCGAAGCAAATGATTTAGCTTCAACTGGATGCGAAACAAAAAAATTAGATTCAAATCCACGCGAAACACATGATTTAGCTTCAAATCAATGCGGAGTAGAAGTTTTAGCTACAAATCCATGCGAAGCAAATGATTTAGCTTCAACTGGATGCGAAACAAAAAAATTAGATTCAAATCCACGCGAAACACATGATTTAGCTTCAAATCAATGCGGAGTAGAAGTTTTAGCTACAAATCCATGCGAAGCAAATGATTTAGCTTCAACTGGATGCGAAACAAAAAAATTAGATTCAAATCCACGCGAAACACATGATTTAGCTTCAAATCAATGCGGAGTAGAAGTTTTAGCTACAAATCCATGCGAAGCAAATGATTTAGCTTCAACTGGATGCGAAACAAAAAAATTAGATTCAAATCCACGCGAAACACATGATTTAGCTTCAAATCAATGCGGAGTAGAAGTTTTAGCTACAAATCCATGCGAAGCAAATGATTTAGCTTCAACTGGATGCGAAACAAAAAAATTAGATTCAAATCCACGCGAAACACATGATTTAGCTTCAAATCAATGCGGAGTAGAAGTTTTAGCTACAAATCCATGCGAAGCAAATGATTTAGCTTCAACTGGATGCGAAACAAAAAAATTAGATTCAAATCCACGCGAAACACATGATTTAGCTTCAAATCAATGCGGAGTAGAAGTTTTAGCTACAAATCCATGCGAAGCAAATGATTTAGCTTCAACTGGATGCGAAACAAAAAAATTAGATTCAAATCCACGCGAAACACATGATTTAGCTTCAAATCAATGCGGAGTAGAAGTTTTAGCTACAAATCCATGCGAAGCAAATGATTTAGCTTCAAATCAATGCGGAGTAGAAGTTTTAGCTACAAATCCATGCGAAGCAAATGATTTAGCTTCAAATCGAAGCGAAACAAATGATTTAACTTCATCATTAAAAATGAATATAGTCCTGACGCGACAAGAAAGCACCTTCTTGCCGCGTGAGGACTATACGTGAAACGCGAAACTGAGAAAGTTTGGAGGATTTTATAGATCAATAAAGATGAAATTTTCTTATTATCCGATCATTTATGTTACTCTGCTTAATCGTACTCTGCATGCCGTACCATTTTCATCACAGATGCAATGACTACAATTTCTTCGATTCTAATAATTTCTTGAAAGGAAAAGAAAATTTACATGTATTATGTGTCTACTCTTACTTGAACGTTTCAGGGGGTATTCTAGTATGAAATGCGTGTGTTTTTAACTTTGTTAAGGTATTTTTTGCAAAGATACTATTATACCTTTTGTCGTCGAATTGATAAGGTTTATTTGTACACATTTCAATGACATTTAAAAATTTTTTGGAATACAGAGAAAGTTAATATTAATGGCACTGCATACTCTCGAATATATTCGCTTATGACCTTTTAGGCCCGACGCGCCACTATAGTGGCTTCCGCGGATATCATCTTTCGGAACGACACGCCACTATAGTGGCTTTCGCGGACGTCATCTCTTTGGATGACGCGCCACTATAGTGGCTTGCTCTAGTAACTCACTCGCTCATCGTTTGAATTAAATAATCGTCTTCATATGCATTGTTTCACACTTCTTTTGTCTTCACCTCGATTTACAACAGTCTACAGAGTGTCCCAAAAATGCCTCGGAGTCCGGAAATGGCGGGTTCCTCGGATCATTTGAAGCAACTTCTTCCTTTACAAAAATTTTCTCCGAGGCACCGTCAACGAGTTATTAACGAAAAACAGTGACCAATAAGAATCGAGTACGGCTGACGCGAGGCGGCCCAGCCAACCAGCGCACGAAGCCCAGTTCCGGTCATTGGCTCGATCGCTTCGCGCCAGCCGAGCTCGCCTCTCATTAGTCACTGTTTTTCGTTAATAACTCGTTAACGGTGCCTCGGAGAAAATTTTTGTAAAGGAAAAAGTTGCTTCAAATGGCCTGAGGAACCCGCCACTTTCGGATTGCGAGACATTTTTGAGACACTCTGTATATACAGTATCAGACTCTGTACAGTACACATCAGACTCTGCCGTCCAGAGTAATAGCCTCGCGTAGAATTCAACCGTACCTAAAAGATTAAAAATGGTCGTCTCCCGGTGCCCACGATTCCGGCCGTTCTGCTTGTCTGAAATAAAAAACGTGAAAGTTTCTTAACTAGTATGAATTTGTATCAGGTACTAGAACAGAGGAAAAGAGTCGGTAATTGAGAAAAAGGGCGATATTTGTAATTCGATTATCGATTTTTGTATGTTTTGTGAACTTCGGAGGCCTAAAAAAAATAGAAAAAATTAAAATATTTGGTTGATTCTAGTAGAGGTTGTAGTCAGATAAGTAGTAAATGCGTACTTAAAATTTTGAGCGAATTGGTCATGTAGGTTTCGAGACATCATGGACGCCGTTCTGAAAAACATAGTTTCGAGAAAATGCCTTTAAAATTTAGTGTATCGATAATGATCCAGAGATGTATTTTTGAAACTATATCCTTTCAGAATATGCAAAAAAAATTGACTTTTTCAAAAGTTCACGTTAGAATATCCACTTAAATATTGATGGCAAAAGAACACAATTTTCTTCCGAATTCAATGAACGGTAAACATTCGTGCTCGGCAGATTATTACTCGAAATCTCCATCACGAGTCAGGCTCGTCAAAGTACGGCAATGGGTTAACCTGGGTAATCGAGGTTCCACCGTATAAACCCGGCACCACAAAGAAAATTATTACGAAGATACGATTATTACATCATGAAATTCCTGTTTACTTCAATTACGGATGTACCAGACCCAGCTGTGTAAATATTTTAACGCTCGTGTTTCGAAAGCTGGGTCATCCAAGATCTGGCACTCATCTGGCACATCACAGAGCTTTGATGAATAAAGAGCCATGTATTCTACAACAGTTCAACCCCGTCGGACCCGCTCTGCAGAATTATGTACATGGATTTCGCATGCTCTTTTATGAATACTGACGTACTTACGAGTGTTTGCCAGGTTTACCGCATTTCGGCTCTTATCTTGAGTGGATTTTGATACCAAAAGTTCCAATGAAGATTAAGCCATGCGATTAGAGAGATACGCGCCGTACTGTTCCGTACGATAATTAACAAAACAATAGATAACGGTGCTTTTTTCAGTGAAACAAAGACAAAACATTGTTTAAGAAAATAGGTTATTATATCGAATCTTAGGAAATTATTTCAATAATTCTGATATTTGAGAGAGCGACGGCTGTGATCGTAGTAATAAATAAACCATTTTGTTGTCTAAAAAAAAATGACAATGCGGTTTATGTCTTTCTTCGAATGCTTTGAAAAGTATTAAGTTTTATGTAGAGTAAGTCTTAATATATTAACAATTGAAATAATTCATAATGGATAAGAAGTTAAGTTGTAGAAATAGAAATTCACACGTCAGAATTTGACTTTAAAATATTTATTTAATACGAGTAAACGATAAAACGAGTAATCTAGTAAACTACGAGCGTGTATCTATTATGGAACACCGTTTTTGTACCATGTATCTGTATTTCATAAATCGGCCCAATGAAAGAATTGTAGTACACAGTATCGAACAGCATATTTTTACTTAGAAACGCCTGTATTCGAATAAACATTTTGCTTACTTCTGATTGTTACGTAACAGTATTTGCGTGAGTGAATTTATAAAGAACAATGTTTGAAGATATGGGCAGAATTTTTATATCCACTTTCATATGCCCTATCTATTTTTTATTCTACAGTGTGCATAATTATAGACTCGAAGTAACTGCTACATCGTTACCGATATCCAGACGAGAACTTAATAAAACATCATATTTGTATATTTCTATTTTCTGTTGTTTCTAATATAAAATTATACAAATGCGATATTTTGTTAAGTAAGCTATGAACTCGAAGTAACTTTTATGTATTTACTGATATATGAACAAAAACCGAAACAAGGACTGTATTCCTATACTTCTGTTTTCTATTATTTCTAATATAGAAATAAGCAAATATGATGTCTGTTAAGTTTTTGTTCGAATATCACTGAAAATGTAAAAGTTACTTTGAGTCTATACAGGATTATTTTGAACAGAATGTACAAGCGAGCACCAGGTGATTCCTCATAAGAAGACATGAAAAAAGTATGGAGTTGCTTGTTTTTGTTTGGGACTTAGTTTCTGAGAAAATCGAGTTTGAATATTCAAGCATGAGCTTTTCTTTTTCTTTTGTCATTCCAAGCAATAGCAAAATTTAAGAAAAGCATTCTAGGTACGGTCTAGTAAACCGATCCCTCTGTCATCTAAAAAAAATCGAGTCGTTTAGTCCAGTTCTAAAAAAGTTATTGCGTTTTAAAAGTTGTCCGAACATTAATGGGAGTCACTGTATCACCATTCATTTTCGGACAACTTTTAAAACGCAACAACTTTTTTAGAACTGGACCAAACGACTGGAATCTTTTTTTTTAGACGATAGAGGGATCAATTTACCATACTATAACTAGAATGTCTTTTTTTAATTTTGCTATTATTTGGAATGACAAACGAAAATAAAAACTCATGTTTGAATATTCACACTAGATTTTCTCGGAAACTAACACCTAAACGAAAAAAAGCTATTCTATATTTTTTCATCTTTCTTTTATGAGAAATCACCTGGTGCCCGCTTGTACATACTTCCGGGGACACCGTGTAATTATTCACGCCACTGTATTGTTCGTGGTTCTGTTTCTAGAAGGGGTCACAATTGAACGGTGCGCCAAGATAGGTACATTTACCTTATGCTCCCTCATAAGGCAGGAAGAGTTTCTCAAAGTTTCTTCCATTGAAGGTACACCTGGCTCCCAGAGGATGAGGAATCAACGAAGCTGGAAGGTCCTCGACCTGTACTGCCGCCAGCGCCACCGCCGCCCACTGCTCAAGCTCCGAAAACGAAGCACGTCAGCTTCGCCAGGTCGCACACGCTTACGTCCTTTGACGTCCCAAGGAGTAGAAGTCCCCCGAGACCACAGAACCAAGAACGGCTCATAGATTCTCAGCCAACGATGCAGAATGCGATGCTCCCTTCGTCTTTACCTTTGATGCACCCCTACGTTCCCAGTGAACCGCGGGTTGTTGTCCTCGGTGAGTATCTTCTCCAATGGCAGTCCACCCGTATCAAACAAATTTGCACGGTCAATTTACTGCATGTACAATTGTTTGAGACCCGATCGAATTTGACACGTACCCCGCGAGTCCGGATCGATTTCCGTAACCGACGCAGCGCCGCGACCTTATGCATGTAGACGGGAGACTTAATGACCGTCGATACCATCGAGCTTGCTCCGGCATGGTCAAATAACCATCAACTGGAATCCTCGTGCGTTGCGTACGCGAACAGACGGAACCTCTAGTTGATATTTGTCAGTGAACTATGGTTAATTTACGGCCACGATTCTCGAACGAATATTTATTATACAGACGGCTCAGGAGCCAATCAGTATTAGTCCATTGACCCGAAAATTCGGAGGATTTTGCAAACTAGCTGTAGAAAAACAACAATGCTAGGAATACTGCGAAGCACAATTTTTATTAGACGATATACGCATGAACTTGAGCAAAAGGAAAACAATAGAAAAATATCAATATCTGTTTAGAAAAAACAATTTCCTCTGAACAATTTTGTTTAATCGTTCCGTGGTCGATGTATATAAGTGCTCCCATCTGTTGTTTATTTATGAAGAAATCGACTGTGCATATTGATTTATCGATCGAAAGATCCTCCGATAAAGACGTGTTCGCACTGTGTAATTGATTTTCAAAGAAAAGTGAAGTGATTGACTTTCGAACCGTCCACACATTGTTGCACGATTTTTCTGTATTGTGAAGACTTTTAATCCTGCTCGCAGGTAAACGCATTTATTTATTTAAATAACGTAAGAAGTTTGAATGAATTACTTATTATTATTGATTATAAATATAATCGATACGAACATACAGGAAATTAGGAGTGAATAGAGGAAGAAACAGAAATGCATACGTACGAAAAAGTAAAAGGAACAACGTGACGCTAATTGTCTTCTGCGTCCCGAATTTATAAATGCCTCTAAATTCTATTATCGTCAGATCTGGTTTAAATTGTTTAGTATAACAAGCTAGTAAGTAAGGAATAGCAAGAGCAGTTCGGTAGAATACCACGCCAATTTCTATTTATCCAACAATACCAGAAGACAGAAATAGAAACAGATCATTTGAATGAGTTGAAATGCAACTGGTTGTTCGGCCTTATTTACTTCTCCCATTAACGCTAGATTATCGGAACACCAAAACTAGTTGTTTTATATTAGTTTCTAAAAGTAACAATTGGACATTTATTCTGATTTTGAACGAGTAAAATTTACCGCAAGTAGCACATATAGTAATTAAATAACTCATAAATGTATCTTTACAATCTGAATAATGGTAAATTAAAAAATTAGTGCAAACCGATGTTAAAATAAAATTAACTAACACCAGGGTGATCTGTACAATGTATGAAATTCACACTATAAATATTTTCATTGAATGAACATTTTCCATATTTTGTAAAAAAAGGTAAGGTTTATCACATCTTTTTCATGTTAGGACTTTAAAATTGATTGATACTATTAAATGTGTTCATTCATTGGTCGTTTGAAATATTTTCATTACGTTTTTAAAAAGTTATAACTGTAAGAAAAATGCTAGAACTGTGATTTCTGAATAATCATTTTGAAGGGAGCGCGTTCAGGCGAAAATCGATTATCAGCAATTTTCCAAATAAAATTTTAAAAATATGCATTTTGATCTATTATTTATTAATTTAATTATTTATTAATTTAATTATTTATTAATTTATTATTATCTATCATTTACATTATGTTTTATATAATTATGTTTATTTTTTTGATAATAAAAAAATTTTTCTTTTATGAAAGAAAAATCGGATTGAAAAATTCTTACCCAATTCTCTTGAACATTGCGTACACGAATAATAAACAAATAACTCGAACATTGACAAATTTTTCGAGCTGAAATTTTTACTGCAATTTGTGTACACGATGTCGAAGTGAACTGGTTACGGATTTTCATGAAAAAATTAGTTGGTAAAATAATTTGCAGATAATTCGAACGTGTAAAAATTGCTATCAAACTGCATATTTTCAAAATTTTACCTGAAAACTTATCGATAGTTGATTCTTGCCTGAATTCCCTTCCTTAACACACCTACAGTTTAAGCGTTCATTCACACTGGACTGTTTACCTTATTCTTAATTATTTCGAGGGTAAAGGGAACTCCCGAAAAACGAATCTCCCGGGCACCGAAGAGTTACGACTCCACGAGCAGGATGGACGACTTTGAGGATAGCTGTAAAAAACCGCGCAGTACCACACAGTACCTACGACAAATTGCGACAGTGGCTGGAGGCAATGCAAATGTAAGAAACGTCAGACGCTTTGCAAAGAGAACTTTACGAAAATGCTGGCTTTCGAAGAAACTCTATCACTAACGAGTTAACATAATAAGATGCGATTGCATTCTGCAGAACGAAAATTGCGAAAAAACGAATGACATAAAAAAAAGTATAATCGCGAGCGGTCCGATCTCCTGGTTAAGCGGGTGTTATTAAAAATTTTTTGAAGAATATTTCTCGGATTCTGGAGAGCACTTGCACGAGAAATTTACGTAAACAGTAAATGATAAACAATTTAACATGGTGCTCGAAGCCGTGCTAAATTTTTCATACAACTGCATGCATTTATTTGTGTTCATTATGCGAGTATCACTTCTGTTTGTTCTGTAAATAAAAACCATAAATTGCAGTTATTTGTTACGTTATCGTTGTCGCCGAATTAACGCTATTTCTCCCAAAGGAGTCAGAAAATGCAATTAAAATTTTCATTTAATGTTGCTTTTACCAAAGGGATCAGAAAATGTCATCAAAATTTTCATTTAGCACTGTCTCTACCAAAAGGGGCAGAAAACGCTAATGAAATTTTTATTTAACATTATTTTTACCAACAGAGTTAAAACACATATTTTAAAATTTTAATTGAACCTTATTTTTTTACCAGAGAGGTCAAGACAGCTTTTAACAGTAGGACGGCCGTTGTCATATACGCATGACTTCGCTAAAAATATTTATACAAAATATCGGCAAAAATGGTATTAACGTATTCTTAGCGTCAAAGGTTACGTTGCAAAAGGGAGACATTTTATTTTTAATAAATAGATAACATTACGCTAGAATCATTGTTGAATGGGGCGATTAAAATTATAACACTGGAACCATAAAATCTGTGAAATTGGTGAATTTCAAATGTTTCATGACTTTTATCAGAAAATCGTAAAATATAAAATACAGTCACATATAATACGATCTTTGTCACATTATTTTATTGTTTGTCGTACTAAATCGTTGGGGCGTTCTTTAAAATGAAATAAATAATTGTTTTCTGCTCACAACAACATTAACCGACTTCGATGAAATTTTCAGCATGCATATAATTCACCGAGATCTACAAAATGCAATGTTTAAAATTTAGTTACTCACGCAAATAAAAACAGTTAAAATATATGAGCATTTTTTTATTTTCGTGTCATTTCAAAAAATTTTAATTTTTGTAAAATTTTGATTGTAAAATCCGCTGAATGCTTCTACTGTTTCGTATTTCATCTATTCATTTTTATAATCAATAAATTACGGATATTATGCATTTATGCCAAAGTAACTAGATGAATAGTGAATAGTGAATTTAAGGACATCGTTGCATTATTTTTTATTTCTTAAAACTGTAAAAAGAGGAAAGACATATATTTTCAGTCCACCGATTAGTAAAAAAATTATTCTGCGTTTCGGTAAATGTCGTTGTTTCAGAACGGAAATTCGTTATTTCAGAAAATGTATGCAAGAAATCCTGCCTTTTACTGATCTCACAATCGCAATTCACAGGTCAATTTTCACGTATTCGCGCTTTTTCAGAGCCGACTCTAGAATGACTTTTCAACGAGACGTGTAGCCTCGGTCATTCATCAAAAGAACGTACACACTTTCCTCTCACTAAATAGATCCTCACTATACTAAGAATGTTCTTGAAAAAGATGTTGCTGTAGCACTGTAAGCAGATGTCTCTTCTCTTAAAGTTACGGTATCAAGTTAAAGCATTCATGAGGTTCACACCTCGAAATTTATGAAAACTGCATCTTCAAAAAATATCAGTCTTATTTTTAGCAGTATTATATAAATGATGTTACTCAGCATACAGATTAGACTATATTCATTGTGCTTTATACTTTGTACTTTGTACTTTGTACTTTGTACATTGTACTTTATACCTCGTATTGGGTTGGCAACTAAGTAATTGCCGATTTGTTCAATAAAATAAAAAATTTTTTTTACTTGGAATGAAGTTTAATCTGTAATGTATTTTCCATTTTGTTCGATGACCTTTTGCCATCTCTCTGACAACTTGAAAATTCCACGCTCGTAGAAGCGTTTGATCCTTTTCGGCCAAAAACTGAGTTAAGTGAGATTTTACAGCGTCATCATCGTTAAAAGTTTTACCACGAAGGGAGTTGTCCAGGGATCGAAATAAGTGGTAATCCGANAAAAACCATAAATTGCAGTTATTTGTTACGTTATCGTTGTCGCCGAATTAACGCTATTTCTCCCAAAGGAGTCAGAAAATGCAATTAAAATTTTCATTTAATGTTGCTTTTACCAAAGGGATCAGAAAATGTCATCAAAATTTTCATTTAGCACTGTCTCTACCAAAAGGGGCAGAAAACGCTAATGAAATTTTTATTTAACATTATTTTTACCAACAGAGTTAAAACACATATTTTAAAATTTTAATTGAACCTTATTTTTTTACCAGAGAGGTCAAGACAGCTTTTAACAGTAGGACGGCCGTTGTCATATACGCATGACTTCGCTAAAAATATTTATACAAAATATCGGCAAAAATGGTATTAACGTATTCTTAGCGTCAAAGGTTACGTTGCAAAAGGGAGACATTTTATTTTTAATAAATAGATAACATTACGCTAGAATCATTGTTGAATGGGGCGATTAAAATTATAACACTGGAACCATAAAATCTGTGAAATTGGTGAATTTCAAATG